TGTACACGGATGTACAGAGCACTTTGGAGCTATGTGGGAGGTGCTCAAAGATGCTAGAGTTAAGAGAAAGGATCTGAGTGTTGTCTGGTTAGACTTGGCGAATGCTTACGGGGCTGTTCCACATTTACTTATTGTGAAAGCACTCCGCTTCTATCATATCCCCGAGAAAGTTATCAACATCGTAATCAAATACTTCTCGGAGGTTTACGGAAGATTCTCCTCTAAAACAGTGACATCAGAGTGGCAGCAGTTCGAGATAGGAATATTTATGGGCTGTGTCATCTCGGTGATCTTGTTTGTGCTATGCATGAACCTTTCTGACGAGTACTTGAAGATGAAGGTACCCAGGAGTGTCGAGTACATTAAGGATGGAACAGCTATACCACCCCTTAAGCTGTTTATGGATGATAGCTGCCTTACCACGGCTAAAATGGTAGATATGCAAACCCTGCTTGATGTTTATCAGGAGTTCGTTGTGTGGTCAAGGTTCAAGCTTAAGTCGTCTAAGTCTAGGGCACTAGTCTACCAGAAGGGAGTGACAGTGGAGTGGGTTGTAGAGAGTTCAGAAGGTAGTCAGGCGAGGTTGCAGCTTAGCGGGGAGGTGATCCCGAATGTATCTGAGAAACCAATCAAGTTTCTAGGGAGGTGGATTCGGGCAGAAGGAAAGGACAAAGCTATAATCGAGAAAACACACGAGGATCTTGTTACATACCTCAGTAGACTCGATCTTAGCTCCCTCACCGGCCTGCAGAAATGTTGGGGGTATCAGTATATGGTCCTTCCAAAGATGAAGTGGCCACTTGCCATTTATGATATCCCGATCAGCACTGTTTCTCGCTGGGAGCAAACAACTAACAGTCATCTCAGAAAATGGCTAGGAGTGGGACACACGCTTAGTAGCTCTTGCCTGTTTAGTCATTCATCCAGTGTTGCTCTCCCCATCGACAGCCTAACCGACACTTGGAAAGTAGAAAAGTGCCGTCTCTTGCAGTCATATCAAACATCTCAGGATGCTTTGATCAGAGCGGTGCAACCCCAGGTGCGGTCTGGGAGAGTTTGGAAGGCAGATGCTCAGCTTCACGAAGCTGAAAGAGACTTGGTGTGTGAGTCAGTGCGAGGTATGGTGCAACCTCTTAGTAGAGCGGGAATTGGTTTCGGTGATTGGAAGAAGCCCTGGGAGAAGATGTCAGAAAAGGAGCAGCAGAGGGAGGTGTTGGATAGGGTTAAAGAGAACATCAGGAAGGAAAGAGAGGTGCAGTTGGGTACGTTGGAGATGCAGTCCAGGTGGGGTAATTGGAGAGAGCTGGTGACAAGGACTGACATGAGCTGGCACACGCTCTTCAAGTATGGGGACTCATTAATCGGTTTTCTGCTTAGTGCTGTGTATGGCACGCTTGTTACACCAGCTTTAGCATCCAAGTGGAGCGAGGATGAGGATGGGATGTGCAAGCTGTGTGGTGACAAGTTGGGAACTGTGCCGCATATTCTGGCTGGTTGTCCTGTGGCACTAAGTCAAGGGAGATACCGATGGCGCCACGATAAGGTGCTTAAACAAATAGCAGACCAAGTGAAATTCCATTGTGAGCGGAGAGTCAACAAGAGGAAGAGCTCTTGTGTCACTCGGAAAGCCATTGAGTTTGTTCCAGCAGGAGGGAGGTTTAAGGAGGTGAAGAGGTCGAAAGTCAGTGAGTTTGGGATTCTGAGTGGGGCCACTGATTGGATAGTATTAGCAGACCTGGATGAGCAGCTGAAATTCCCGTCGGATATAGCAACGACCAGATTAAGACCAGATTTGGTTCTTTTCTCGAAAGCTTCCAAGAGAGTAATCTGGTGGGAGCTTACAGTACCATCGGAAGAGAGAATAGCTGCATCCCATGAGCTGAAGCTTGATCGGTATAACAGTCTACAAGCGGAAATACAAGCTAATGGGTGGTCATGTTTCAGCTTTGCTGTTGAGGTTGGTGCTAGAGGTGTGGTCGCAGCAAGTTTGGAGTGTGCATCAAGGAAGATTGGTCTGACTGGGAGAGCCCTCAAGAAGTTGGTCAGAGATTGTGGGAAGGATGCAGCCCATTGTTCATGATGGATTTATCTGCTGTCTAGGAAAAGAGAGTGGGAGATGAGAGCTGTTTGAGCTTTATGACTTCACCTAACAGCCAGAGGTGCCATAAGCTAACTCGTCGTAAATCGCGAGCTCTAGCAGGTATCCTCGGGTGATTGTCAGATCAGATGGTGGTCCAAGAGAGACTGCTGGGGCACCTGACAGGAAACCGTATCGCAATGAAAGCCCCGAAACGGTGTCAGGTTTGTGACTGAAGATTCTGATCAAGCTCAGGGTTGAGTCTACACAGTGTCGCCACTTGCCGATGCCAGTTGATGCGAGAAGACACTGATGTAAGTGGGAAGTTATGTCTAAGAAACAGCGTGTGGTTCGGGTGCCGGTTGAACGCATGTAAAAGGGAGGGTATATCCGTATTTCGCTGCTAGTGATGCAGTCCTTAGCCCGGTAGCTAAGGCTTCCCCGTTTCTCGCTCATTTGTGCTCCGATGGGCTTGTGACCTCTGCGGGGGTCAAGTGCAGGATGAGGGACATGGCTGACCAGGAGAAGGTTGTTTTTGGGAGATAGAGTAAGGTTGGTTTGGTGTTGTACCTTCGCAGTTTAACTGTATCTTTACTCTTAAAATTAATAAGGTAAGTTAAAGCATTTATAAGCAGACTGGAAAATTGCAATAATATAATAGCTGCAAGAATAAAAAGATTTGCGCAGTGACCTGAACGAGTGGACCTGAAAGTGAAAGCAAATATGCCCGATACGATAAATACTCAGCTGGGGCCTAAGAAGCGTTCGGGAATCATATTAGTAACTGATAACGCCATCAGCTAGGATGATGACAAAGTCCGAGAAATATAAAAGCATGATACTATTTTAGCCAGACCGCCGGGTTAGCTCCAACTATAAAACTAGTAAGCAGACTTTGCTAATTGTAGGGGAGTAGGATTCTCGCGTCATCCAACGTCAACCAAGCCAGGTTAAAAATTTTGCTTATAGTAACTGCAATCAATCACCAGCGCTACCCTGCAACGCATCAAAATTTAATAAATTCTTAAAATTTTAAAGACCCGGTAAAATCGGTTGCCTAGTTACTCAAATCAATCGCTGGCGCGACCCTGTAACGCATCAAAGTTCATAAACTCTTAAAAATTAAAGACCTGGTTGATCCCGTGTCGAACGACAATTACAAGCTCGCTTGACGTTTTGCTATGCCACCCATGCTGAATTACAGTAACCATAGCAACACGAATCAGCGTTATATCTCCAACCTGCCAGCTCAATGATTATAACCATGTTGACGCGTGGCGGCGCGGGACATGATTCTAGTACTTATAGAGGCTCGGAACTGAAAGTCATTATTATTATTTATGCCCTCTTGAAACTTTGTTGTTCACGAGTGGTCAAGAGTTCCACTGTGTGGCAACTGGCAGTGGCAGCTAGCTCTTTAAACTTTATCTAATTAAATTAGGTTTAATATTTTTAGTGTTTGCGTGTTCCAGTGCCAAGTTTAAATAAATTTTTCCATGTTAAACAGATATAGTTCCAATACCGTTTAAAAAGCGGGGAAATGAAATTATTTCATTTTAATCAAAATATCTGTCCATATTACAGATACCATTTCATAGGCATTAGACATTAGAGCACAAAATTCAGCAAGTTTTGAAATGTGTTTTAAAATTAGCTTAAATTATATTTCACTATTTTTGTTATAAATAATTTCTTTACCGTATTTAAAAACCAATTTTCAAAATTTTTTGAAATGCTTTGATCTATGTTGGAAAAATTACGAAATATGTCTTTTAGGGTCATTTAAAAAATTAATCAGGAAAAAATGCAAATGGATGTTGATTTTATGATTCAATTTTATCTAAACTAGTTTAATAAATATTTCGGTTTTCAAAAAATATTAGTCTGGTAATATTAGTCTGGTAATATTAGTCTGGTAATGCTCTTAGACTATCAGTATCGATTAAAGTTCTAATTCCGTTCGTTTCGTTAACTTGCTTTAAAATCAATAACTCTGAATTAGGATCACAACTCTTCAAGTTGAGGAACCTTGCTATCTCCAGTTCGACCCCATCTGTGTAAACTAAACAAGAGTTCTGCTGTTTCAAATTGGATAATTTGAAATCCGAGCCACATGCTGCCCAACGAATATTTGAAACTATACAAAACATTTTACACGATTCTACGGGTGAGCAATTTTCTGTGGTGGAAAATATTTGCAATTTGTGCTGAACACAATTTTCTGTGGTGATGAGATTTCTATGAGGTCCAAGGAAATCTTGAGACCATAGTCCTAGTGATGACTAGTGACTAGTGACTAGTAATGACTAGTGACTATTTTAGTGACTAGATGTAGTCCACCTTACATGTGATTCTGCGTTACATGTGATTCTGCGGGCATGATTCTATGTGTGGACATTTCCATGTGCTGACACATTTCTATCTGTGGCGAACAACATCTGTGTCGAATATTATTTTGATTTTCATCAAATGATTTTTGTGTTGAGCAATTTTATGTTGAGCAATTTTCTTTGGCAAATTATTTTCTGTGTCGAGCAATTTTTTTGACGAACCGTTTTGGTTTTCATCTTGAGCTAAATATTTGTATGCTGTTCAATGTGCTCAAATCAACAGTTTCTTCGGAATCAAGGATTCCCTGAGGTGAACATTTCAGATACTTAAATGGTGAGTCATTTTCTGAACAGAGTCATTTTCTGAGCAGAAACATTTTCTGAACAGAAGCATTTTATGTTAGGATAGGTTAACATATTACGTCGACGAAGGCGGTATGAAATGGCCTGACGTACTATGTGAACGTACCCTAATGATTAATTTTTCTAATTTGCAATTATTGTGTGATCATACAATTTTTTGACTAAACATTTTAATAATAGTAATACAGAAAAAATAAATGTAATACTAATTTTATTGATTTCACCTTTAGTCGCTGATTATACGATAAAGATACCCGCACGCAAATCGCCTGCAGCACATTTTTGAACAGACAACTCTCTTTTCAAGGTAAATATTATTGAATATATTAATATATTATGCAATCATTATTATTTCTATAAGTGCATATTGTTCAAATTTTAAAGAATTATTTAAAATCAAATCAAAAAAATCCTTGCTTCGTGGTAGGTAACAGATTTCGATATTTAAAATACTATAAAACTTCGTGGTAGGTAACGAAAACTTTCTTTCAGAAATCGCAATGTTCAGGCCCAACAGCTTCATGGACACTTTACCCCCAAATACCGGAGACGGAAAGGAGAACTTCAACCTTGAGGAGTTCGTAGGGAGCCTCCCCGTTAAGTCTGCACCCTTCGAGAAGCGCTTCGTGAGTGATGCCATCTTGGAAGGACTTATCTCAGGAGACTGCATCATGTCTACTACGAGGAACATGTACCCTCCACTGGCCCTGACAGAACCCTCCTTCATACCCTACCCTCCTCTACCTTACACACCACTACCACTACCAGTCATACCATGCTGTATCCCCTGCTGCAACCCAGTAGATAGCTGGCACTCAGGTCTCTACAGCGGGCTCTACCCCACCACCTGCAATCCCCTTCTACCAATCCTTCAACACAAAGAAGTTGCTGCCCCCTTCATTAGACCTCCTAAACGTCCCCTGGAGAGCAAGATTACGTGGAGTGCTGCTTACAATATGGACTACAACTACAACCCCCCGGCAATGACCATGGCTGGATCCAGACCGTACAGTCAACCCCGCACCTTCGGGTACCCCCGAGCTACTAACTTCAGCACCGTCGCCCCGGACATCTTACCACGGGTGATCCCTGACTGTGACATAGCTCCACCTAGATTATCTGGATTAGCTCCGCCCAAAACAAGAGCTGGAGAATACCTGATACAGAAACCAAGACCGGCTCACGCTATGGCTACAATCCCACTGACAGCAGCTGCTATGGCAACCATTCCTCTGACGGCAGCTGCTATGGCAACCATTCCTTTGACGGCAGCAGCTGCTATGGCAACCATACCTCTGACGGCAGCTCATCACGCCATGGCGGCTAATCCCCATACAACTCTGGCGGCACACCCTCTGGCAGCACACCCTCTGGCGGCACATCAAATGGCGGCACATCCAATCCTTCCCAGTCCTATCCTGCCCCCTCCCACTTTGCCCAGCACTGTGGACATAAAGAAGAAACCAGTGACATATCGCTTCGTCTACCCCAAAAAAGAAAAGAAGTACATCCGAGTAAAGAGTAAGAAACTCCACAAGTGTCGCAAGGCCCCGACTAGAGCGCAGAAACTTGTCCTCTCCCTAACTAAACCCCTGCTGGACTGCTACAGAAAAGGACTAGACACAATCTCGAGAAAGATCCCCATTGACACTGACTCCAACTCCAAATCAAGTTGTAGTAATGGCCCAAGTTCCCCCAAAGAAGTTCCCCTGGACCCTGGATATGACTTACTAGCTGTAGCTATGCTTACCAAGTGCCTACATTTCGAGCAATCGAATGTGAACCCCCTGCACCCCTTAAAACGTTACGTTGTCGAAAACAATGCTTCCGGGAAACGCTCTCGCGAAAGTGAGCCCCACACGGCTTCCATGTTTTGATTGTTTGATGTTTCTTTTTTGTTACGGTGTTAAATTTAACAATACTCTGTGAGTGGTTTGCTTCACAGCCAGTGTTATTAAAAGATTTGTGCAAAAGATTTGTGCAAAATTTCGGTAAATGCAAAAACGAAGTATTATGAAATATTATGATACAAAATTACATTTTACGTAATTCTGCAAATATTTGATATTATGAAATATTATGATAAAAGATTTCATTTTATGTAATTCTGATGAATATTCCGAATAAGGGTAAGTTAATCTGTCAATTATTAAACTAGGCCCACTGATCTGTCACTCCATCAGACCAGACAATCTGAAATCGGGTCTTTACAACTTATGACAATGATTACAGATGCTGACTAATACATGGTTAATCAAACTGAACCTCATTAGTCGGATTTATGTAGAATAAATTTTAGAATTGTAGAATAAATATTGCAAGCGATTGTCCGTGGGGAAGAACGTTGTTATGTCGAATTTGACAGCCCATTCTACTCAGCAGTGCTCGGTAGGATAATCTACAAACACTCTCTCTGTGGGGGAGTGTTTGTACGGTATAACATTCCGCCAGATAGTATTGATCTCCGGTTTATCCAGGATCCTATCGGGCTACTGTTGGGTTTACTGTGTTGTGAAAGGAGTCTTCCTGCATTAGCTTGTCAATGTTTGTGTTGATTTTGTGTGTAGCTTTGCCGGTTGGTATTTGCTTTGTTGTATTTGCTTATTTGCTGTTATATGAAGAATAATTTGTGCGTTTTATTTTGATGGGAGGGACTGGGTTTTGAAGTTACAAAGTAATGTACACATAAATTGTACAGTGCTGAAGATGCATCTTTCTCAGAAAGCATGGGAACTGGGAAGTCTTTATGAAACTCATAAAATTGATAAACAATTTTTAGAATTTGAGAATGGCTAATTTATTGTCAACTAAACAGAATCCTTCACTGTCAATTTCATACAGCTTCGTGGTAGGCAATATGATATAATGATATGTTTCAGATCATAATCTCAAGTCTCACCCTCATATGGTGATTCCAAAAGGAAAGATAGTTCCTTCTCTCACATTTATTACTGAGGTTATGAACTGACATTTCCCTGTGACTTCATCAAATTGATTTGATTAAAAAGTCGTGGTGTGGGACGAAGACCTTTGTTAGGATATCAAATTTATCAAACAGGTCAACTCCAAGAATTGTTCTAACCTTATATGGTTAAATAGTGAAGATCTGTCTCTTTATATTTTGAATTTGTTGACAGATCTATCAAAGGATGTTCAACCTACCGAAATTTGCAATTTAAACATTAATGATGTAGTAACAGTATTGTTGTTTAAGTATGTCCCTCTGAGGGACCCTCAGAAAATGACGCTGAGGAAACGAGGAAAGATTAAGAAGTGAGCTTTCTTCTACGTCAAAACACTAATAATGTAGGAACAATATTGTTGTTAAGGTATGCCCCTAAAAAAGTGGCGGTAACGCTGAGGAAACACAACACCTGATTCTTTGAGGGAATGAGCTCTCTTACACGTTTATATATGTTTAGGTCTGACCTACCTAAGCTAAAAAGCCGTGGCAAAGCCCGGACTAAAGACTACTGAGCCGAATACTGATATGAAATATAACAATGTGGGATACAATAAGATACAGTAAAGAGCATAAATAGTTAGAAGGGATAAACCAGGACCCCTCCACGGACCGAAGAGAAAGCAGTTCTTGTCCTCTGTGGAATGTGGATGGATTTAATCTTGTGGACGTCATAGCCTGGGTGAAGGGTGATGCTAGATTACGGGCATCTATTGAAAATATCAAGAGGGATCAAGAGGGAGTCTCGAGAGATCTTAAAAGCCGGTATTAGATGATATCTCTTATCCAAAACAAGTCAAACGCTGCATGGAAGCGGGCCTATCAGTATATAAGTATACCTTTTCGGACCTTATTTGGACGGAAATTACTTGAACGCTGGAGGCCCTAGCGTTCATCTTAATGTCCGTTCAAATAAAGTCCGTTCAATTAATGTCCGTCCAAGTTAAAGTCCGTTGAAATTTTTCCATTTCGAACTTTCTGTCCAGAATATGACAACTTTGAGAACTTTATTGTGCCGTAAGTTAACGACGGAAAGGTTCTCCTTGGTCTGCCGGAGGCACAGAAAACTCTACTACTACCACTACTATTATATGATGTTTTCAAGGGTCACTTGGCGGAAAAAAGTCAACGAAATTATGGCACTCAACAACATAGTTCATGAACTAGTCCCCGCCAACATGACAAACTTGTTCCAGCCTCTAGATATTACAGTAAATCGTGTTGCCAAGGACATTGTCCGACGTTGCTATAGTTCATATTACTCGGGGGAGGTAATGAAACAGTGCTAGGAAAGCTCCACGTGATGTTAAGGGAATCAACCCACCCCCAGTATGATAAGGGTTAAGTTGTTTAAGATAAAACCACTTCACGCCGAATGGCTTGTAAAAGTTAACACTGAAATGCTGGACCGGGGTAGTTTGATAAAAAAAGGTTTCCATAAAGCTAGAAATCACTTTAGCAATGCCTGGAATGATAATCTGCTTGTAGATGAAATAAGTGGTTTCAGCGTCCCCATTTATTGCAGCAGGCTGAGTGCAGTGCTCCATGCTGCGTTGTGCAATAGAGACAAAACAAGCATTGAATCATTAGCAATTGCGCTTCTATCAACTCATCTTTGGTATCAATGATAATGGGGCTTGGTTTGCCTCTTCTTTTGGCCCCTGAGTTCGTTAATAATATGGCCGGTTTTCTTGCTGTTTTTCCACAGTTGTATACGATTTCGTTACATTAATGCCAAAGGTTGAGCAGCTTTAATGATAGCTTTGAGCATCCACGATAATCACTAATACTTGTAGAGCAAGAAATTACACCAGGGTTCTTATTAGTAACGTGTCAGACCACTCCTTACCAGTTCAGGCTTTCTTTCTACAGACTGGATGATACTTCTGTAATCCATGGGTTAAGTTTGGGAGTTCTTTTTGTCACTTTTGGTACCTCCAGTTAGCAGGTTTTCAAGTGTCCTGGTCAAAACATGCCGTGAACTCAACAAATTTTTGTGTGAAGGCGTGAGATGGTTTACCCTCACCTCAAGTTCAGATACAAAGCTTTAATTTGGAACTTGAGTAATCATAATAGCGGACATGTTTCTGAGGCCTCGTCTTGCGGAGGGTCTCTACTGAAGTGAAGGTTAATATAGGGCATGCTCAACCAAGCGTTCTTCAATAACACCTGATAAACTAATTCCTCAATTTTTATTTTGTTAAAATGTTATCGATGCAGGAACTTTTACAGTTTTGACGAAAATGGTTGCAATGGAGATAGTCGGGTAAAAAGCCATTTCTGAATAAAGTCTCCTCAAAGAGAGCTGGGAACTGGTAGATAAATTAATATGTTGAGTTAAAGGCACCCAACAAATTGACAGTTTTTCCCATTTAGCTGCTTTGCAAGTAATTCAAGGTTTCACAAAAGCTATCAAAGCAGCCATTTAGGGTCGGAGATGACTCCATGAACAATATTGCAGCTGCGCTATCTGTGGTTTCAACAAAGAGACTCTCAATATTTGTATTACAGTGTATACATTTTCTAAGACCCACAGTGTTTAAATGGTCAGATACAAAAGTGCAACACTGGCGGTCCTTTTTTCTTACCTGCCAATGTTTCTTGATAGAATCCTGTGTATGCTGGATGTAGGTACCGACCCTGACTGATGCAGGATCATATTGTTGCAGCAAAGACAAATCATTTCAAACGAGTGCCCTATACTTTTTGATTTTATTTATTACACATCTTGATTCACCGGCATCCTACCACCGGACTGCCATACCCCCGAGGTAGACAAAGCATTTTCATAATCTATCCTCTCTTGGGCCAACCAGGCCAACCCTCATTTAAAAAATTTAAATTAAAAAATAATAAAAAAAGCAACTTAATAATTTTTGAAAATTTTAAAAAGTTAAGGAAAATCACGTTCAGGTTGTAATATATTCAGCTTTTCAGAGTTATATAAGTGTCGTGTAATTGGTAAAAGAATATTAGACGTTGTATTTAATTGTATTGTCATACGTTGTATTGTCATACGTTGTATTGTCATACGTTGTATGACCCGCCGCGCACGGAGTGCGCGGCTCCCCCTGTATCCGTTAGAACGATACAGTGAAACGACCGTGGGTGACACAACGTGATACAAGCGAGGTTGGTTGCGAGAAGCATAATTAGGTGCGCGGCGCGGACCAGTAACGCATCGCGCTACAATGCATTGGCCATTGGCGAGTTCTAGAAACAAACTTTGAATTTATTTTTTCTTTGCAAAGCAGAGCATGAAAAATTTTTTTCGAATGGCTGTGTAGCAAAAATATTAATTTGCGTGTTGAAGCGGCAAATGGTAACATGTAACAATTCAAAACATAAAATGTTCTCAAAATTAAATTTTGTGTAAAATATGCTTGACCTGGCTCCGTATTGTATATACTATAAAACGCTGATAACTCGTTATTTTTTATTATTCACCTTACTGAGGCAGTCAAATAACGCCGGCTTTTATTTTTTTATGGAATGATAATTTTGATTGTTATTAATAAATAACCAAAATTTAAATTTGTTTTCCTAAAATTTGTTTTTTTATTTTACATTGATTGAATTTGAAATATTTGCTCCGTGTGCATAAAACAATCAAAAATACATTTCGCGAAATTTAGTAATACAAGTCTTAAGTTTGAAGTTTCATGTATAGTTGTAGGTTTACAACCTACCAGGACGCGCGCCGAGTTGGACTCGTCGATGGTCCTGAATAATATATATAGGGATCAGAGATATTTTACGAGTATCACCGTTAATGTACTAGCAGGAACCCCGTCGAACTCCCTAAAATGGTGTCAAGAAGACTCAAGAACCTAAAACAAATTATTACCTATTTTGTATTTAATCGCGTGTTTGACACCCACGTGGGGTACCAAATTTTTGGGCATCTAAAACTCCTATTTTCTGGCCAAGTTTTTATTTTTTCATGCTGATTTAGGAGGCATTAAAGCATTTGACCCAGTCAAAAAGTTTCAGTTGTATATCTTTTTACGGTTTTTGCAGAAATTCGCGTTAAATTTGATGCGTGGATGTCATAAAATGGCACAGATAAATATATATAATAATATATATATATAGATATATATATATATATATATCGTCTCGCTTATATATAGTAAGATAGTATTATTATGCCGACAGAGTAATTGACGATGTCAATTCATGGCAGCTCGCGCGGCCACAGTAAGCGCATCTCGCCGATCTAGCACAAAACGCATCCGGCTACAACGACAGAGTACTAATTCATCCATGCAAAGAATACAAACCGTTAGCGAGAAATTTCACAGTTTTTGAGCTCTTACTGAATTCGCTCGCCGCGGCCGAAAAATTATCACGTGATTTTGGTTTTATTTATCGGGTGATACTCGTAAAATATCTGTTCCAACTCGGCGCGCGTCCTGGTAGGTTGTAAACCTACAACGGTTTTATTAGCCTGTCACGTGACTAAAACAGCTTTAAGCCATAACTATAACTCCCATAAAAGAATTTGTCAACAAATTTTGTTTTACTTTAATTTTGTTTTACTTTAATTTTGTCTCTCTTTCTTATTGCACTGAACATTAACATAAAACATCGAAAAAAGGTCCATGACATGCCACGTAGGTATTTCAATTTTGAAGTGTGAACCAGTGGTTTTAA